GTTATTCCTCTAACGCGAACAGATTTGGTGAGGGATGGTGAAGGATTGGTCTGCTGGGTTAGATCGAACAGGTTTGCGGGAGGAGGTGGGAGGAAGGAGGAGAGCGGCGGCGGCGGTTTTGGGGAAAGAAGGAGGTGGGAGGAAGGAGGAAGAAGGGTTGGGTGGGGTTGGTTTTAATGACGTGGCGGGATATAATGACGTGGCGGGTTATAATGACGTGGCGGGTCGGATTTTATTTTTGTTGGGTTATATCCGGCTGATTAGGCAATTCTGTTTGCCACATCAGCACTTAACGGACTTCATTAACGGAGTTGGACGGAGACTAACGGCGAGTGACTAAATGTGTCCAGTTTTAGTAATTGTAGTGACCAAATTTGATATTAACTTTTTCTAGTGACTAAACATGTCCCGATTTTGCAATCTCAATGACCAAATGTGTCTTTAACCCATTATTATTTATTTCTCTTTTCATGGAACTCTAAACATATTATGCATAGTTGGATCACTTTAAAAAAATGTTATGAGCATATAGATAACAATCATTTCATGCATTTCAAATCATCTGTTATATCCATTATTATATACCATATTACTCGTCAAAATTTTTTCGGCCAACGGGCCTGGACCTGTGCTAGTTTTCATAACACCAAAAAGCAAACACTAGTATTAGTCGACTCTCAGCTTTCAATTCGTCAAATTAAAGATTACCAATGACAAGAACTTGAGATGTCACCTCTCCTTCATTCTCCTTATCAATTTCCTAGCTCTAGGAAAACTCAAGACTCTTTGCTTAGTCTCTTTGCCCTAAATTAAACAATCGAATATAGTTTATATATTTAATTATGTATTTTAAATATAATTAATTTCGTATTCGATAATACCGATTGGGATCCCGAAAGAACGATTGGGATACCGAAATATTTAGGGTTGGGATTGGGATACCGAAATTATTTAGGGGTTGGGAATGGGATTGACTTTCGGGTATAATTCGGTATTCGGGATTGGGATACCGATACCGTACCGATTTACACCCCTAGCTCTAAGGGTGCTATAACCTTTATTGCACACCAATGATACGGGGTGAAGTAATCCCAACATGATCAAAATGTAGCCAATACAAAAGAGACGTATTTGGCCTATCAAATCTATGTAACCCAAATGAATATGAGTTGCCTATGGAAGCTAGGTGATCCGCAACAAAGTTTGTCTCTTGAAAAACATGGTCGATCCTGACTGTCCAGGCGCGAATGAGCCATCGCCTAATCCTGGCTACTTGAGTGTAGTGTGGATGATGTGGTGTCACGGACTCAATCAAGGACTTAGCATTAAAAGAGTCTATCTACATAATAACTTTCCTAGCTCCCTCTTCCCAGACAAGTTCCAACTCATACATAATCCTAGCCAGTTCAACCCGAGTAATCGAACTCCCGCCAAGGTTCGCAGTGAATTCTCTAAGAAATCGGCCATCATCGCCCTGCATGACTCCGCCACAGCTCGTGCTCGTAGGAGAGGAGATGACTGAGTCGTCAGTGTCAATGCAGACCCAGCTTTGCGTCGGTGTTTGCCAGCCAATGTGACGCTTCTCTCGGAGTCCCTCATCCCTGAAAATGCTCCTCTCCTTTTTCAAAGACTTCAAAATCTGATCACGAAGTTCTCTTGACTGGAACTGGGTTTGTGTATGGGTCTTCAACTCACCCAGGAACAAAAAGCCATTCCCGTTATTCCATATAAGCCAGCACATCAGAGTGTGTTGTCTAAGATGTTGTTGCATCTCCTTCCTTCCTTTCATTATTTTTATGAGGGTTGGGAAGTTTGCAGCCCAACTTCACGGTCACAATCTTGCAGCCACGATCTTCTTTGTGTGCTCGGATGAAGAGGGTCGTGAGTGGACTATCAATACTCTATGCTCCTTATTGGCCGCTCCAAAAGTTCACCCCTGATGTCTCAATCTTCGCGATCGTGATCTTGACACTGAAGGCTGTGATCTCAGTGCTCAGATTCGAGTACTTAGTTCTTATTTATGATCAATCACGCCCTGGCCGTGATCTTCTGTTTTTGCACATTTCTCTATACTTGTGCCCTCTTTTGATACCTAAAACAATTATATCATCTAATAAAACCTAAAATGCTAATATTTACTCCAAGGAACAAATAAAAGGTATATTTAACGATATATAGACAATGAAGACCATGAAATGACTCAAAATGGACCTAAATATGAGTGTTATCAACTCTCCCACACTTAGGGAATTGATGATATAAATAATAAATGAACAAATAATCTAGAATACATTATAAGTTTTATATCTAAAGATAAAAGCATCGATGAACCATAGCATTTAATGAAAAAAACATCTCATTAAATCATAGAAAGACACATGATAAACCGTAGAATCCACATCCCTAACAATCTCGAGCTACCGAGACATAGGATAATAGGAAGACATCACCAATGATACAAGCATTGATGGTGAAGACCTCTTGGAGAACTCCAACAGGGCGTCACCTTCTCTCAATGGGTTTCTAACTCATGCCCCTCTGGCAAAGTGCTGGTAAGAAGGTGTGTTTTAAAGGTATAACCTATGCCTCTATTTATAGTACATGATAGAAGGGGTATTCGAGGGGTTTTACTCCTAAAACTTGGTGGACAAATAACATTGTACGAGTGGGACTCTGACTCTTTGACTTGGGGATGAAGTAAGAGCTTCTAGATGCTTTTATAAGGGCTTGGGCTGAGCAGCGATCCGACGATGGCACCCACCGTCGTCCTTCGTCTTCTTGGACTGGGTTGCTTATGGACCAAACAACTTTTCCTGCAAATTCGCGTGTGACTTGATCAGGTTGGGCCAGCAGCGGTTGGACCCGTCTTAAGGTCGTCATTGATTTCTTTTCTGGTTAATGTTGAGTTTTCTCATGTGAGCTCCTCTTGAGCTCCAAGTAAGATTTCTAGTACGCTTCCCCTTCGTTGGGCTTCATCTAATAGGTTAAAAACTCAATCTTTTTAAAAAAGTTTTTCATTGATGCTCCATAATTATCCAAACATCGATCCAAATCAGTCATAGATTGTATTCTACCTTGAAATGCACTAAGACATACCAAAATGGCATAAAATATACAAAAACATAACCAAGTCTAATAATAACTCAGTTGACAAATAATTACAATATTCTTATGAAATCAAGTAAAAACTTCTAAATATGCATTGATAGAAAATGAAAGTGTATCAAATATGAAAGTGATAAACACTAGAATTTGAGTGTTATTAGACATCTACAAAAGTGATCCACATGACACCACCTACCCCATCTCCGAAGTCGACATGTACAAAACTGAGCGGATGAACTTAATCATGACCCACACTAACTCAAAATATTAGTGTTTGGTGAGTCGATTAGATTTGATGCAGATTACAGATGGGTAGGATGGATGATGGTGGTTTTGAAAAATTTGAATACGAATATGAATAACTAAACATGAATCAAAATGAATCCATAACAAAAACATCAATTTTATTGAAAAACAAATATAGTTTGAGGAAACTCTTAACAAACCGTATAATAAGTTTAGTTGAAAAGTAGTAATGAGAGGAAATTGAATCTGGAATTGAAAACAAAGATTAATTACAATATGCATTGCTTAAATTTTGAGGGAAAACATTAGTGGTTGGCAATTAAAATCAAACGATCAAATTTTGGAAAGAAATAGAAAGGGGATTGTGGAAACTAAGAATCCATTTGGGGGAGGGATTTTAGGGATCTAGTGTTGATTATGGGTAGGTGCCGAGTTTGACGGGTTCAACCCACACCCATTCATATTTTTATTTGTCAGACTAGAACTCTAGAAGCAACACACAGCCCACAATACCAATCCATTCGATGATGGGTAAGGTTTTAGCGGGTAGATTTGGGTGGGTTTGATGGGTGATCCACCAATGCCAATCCCTAACTAGAGTAATCTGTTTCGGTTGTGGTTGGTTAGCATTCAAATGTTCCGGGTAATTAGGATAAATTGTTACAAACTTTTGCACTCATTACAAAACGATCACAAAAATTTAATTGTACCAAAGTAGTCATTCCGTCCAAAATTCTATTAAATTTGATCTAGTCAGCTGTCTTGTGAGCATTTTGTCATGCAAAATTAATAAAAATAAACAAACCAAAAACCAATTTAAACCCCAATCCAACCCATCCCCAACCCAACCGGGGAAAGTTAATATGCTAACTTGAAGATTCGTTAGCAGATACTAACTGATATAAAAAATACATGAATTAATATCCAAGTACTAAAGTATCTAGAGAGCACAGACTAGTATTCAAAGTTTGCTAACTGATATCCACCATGAATAAACTATTATCCCAAATTCACAAACTAATATCTAGACAACACAGAATAGTACCAAACAACACATAATTAGTATCCAGATAACACATAAGAGTATCCATATTGAATACTAGTTGGTTGATTGTGTATATTAGTTGGTATATGCTATCTGGATACTAGTTTGTGATGTTTTAAATACTAGTCTGTGCTATCTATATACACAGCAGACTTGGATATTAGTTCATACATTTTGGATAGGACGAAACTTAGTTGCAACCCGGTTTGCAGCCAACCCTGCCAGGCCACGTGTCCTCAAATAATTAGTTGGTTTTCTCCAATAATTAATGGTTCTGTGTTTATTTTAGGAAAGGAAATGCAAGCTAACGGAGGTCCGGATGCATAACGGAGGTATTGGCAGACATAATTTTCCGTCTTTCATGCTTAACTTTTTACTTCTTTAGTTAGTTAGTAAATATTCCGTTTAATACATATATGTATACATGTACGTATTTTATTCATTTAAAACTTCTATATTCATATTATTTTTTCTTTTTTTTTTGTTCATTTGATGACTCTCGTACTAAACACTTATAAAATCCGTATAACACGTTTAATATCCATATTTAATGAATTAAATCGGTATAATTATACTCACGAATATAACTATGCTGAACCCAACCCATTCCCTCTCCCCTTTCCCTCTTCGTCACCCTCCGCCAACAACTCCCTGCCGTCCCACTCGTCGAACTGCAGCCGTCGGCCAACTTTATTCATTCCTTCTTTCCTTTTCCTCCAGAGTCCAGTCCCACGCGGCCGCCCCTACTTCCACAGTTCCACTAACCGACGTTTTCTGACAAACAATAATCAAATTCCATTATTCCAATGTCGCGCTTGGTTCGTTACTGCCGTGGCCTCCCGCGCTTCCCAAACCCTCCTCCAGTGAAACCCCAACTTCTAGCTCTCAATCTTTCAACCACCTCATCCACTGCGGAGAATGTAACTCCGGCTGATCGAATGGCGGGGCCGCCTCCAATTCGAGTTGATCTCACAGAGTCAGCCGGCCGAGGCGTGTTCGCCAGTCGGAGGATCGGCGCCGGAGAGCTCATCCACACGGCCAAACCTGTCCTGTGTCACCCCTCCCTCTCTTCTATTAGTGCTGCCTGCTATTTTTGTCTAAGAAAGGTCATTTCTGAAGGCCAATCCCCTACGTTCTGTAGTCGGAAGTGCGAGGACAGCGCGAAGGTGATTTCAATGGCGTGTGTCCAGACTGCACGCCACGTGTTCGATGGAATTACGCAAAGGTTTCTGGCAGTTGTCGAGTTCTAATTTCTTGTACTCTTTAGGTGTTTTATGATGTCGAGAAGAAAGCTGATTGGTCGGAGTTTGATGCTTATTGCCGGTAAGATAGATTCACCTTGGCTGTGCTTTATATTCCGAAAGCATTTTCTCAGCAGCATATGTTGGATTTCTGGCCGGGCCTAGCTATCTGTTTCCACTAGTTAAGGAAAATGCTGATGTGACTTAATCTTGTTAGAAGCTTGCCAGCATTATAAAAAATCGAATCTTGCTTTCCGCGGATGCAAACCTTTATGATTTCTTTCAATTCTGAAGGTCCCAGGGTCTGAAGTATCCACAGATGGTGAAGCGGTTAGCTTGTCAGGTTATATCAGGAGCTGCATCTGCTGAACTTCTTGACATACTTCAACCTGCTTCTGTTTCGGCAGAGATGGCCTTGATGGTAAGTTTGTACAAGTTTTTAGATGGAGTCTTACTGATATGTATTTTTTTGTGTGTGTGTGTGTGTGAGGAAACTAGAGATAGAATTATATGTAACTGAACTTAGGGAGTTTTGTTGAAGGAATTATTAGTTAGTATAAGAGAGGTGACATTGTTTGTAACTTCCAAGTTAAGGCATCGCTGAAATGAGCAACTGATTTCATCTGGGGGAATCAAATTGAATATCTATTTATACTTTAGTTGCAGTTTTATTTGTGACTACAACTGGGAAAATGAAGACCAGCTTGCTTCTCTTTAGCAGTCTCGCTTCTCTACTTGCTGTCAATGCAGTTATCAAAGTAGTTTACCTTTGTAGGATCGTCGCTGATAGCAATAGAATCTTTTTGGCACTAGTTATAAGTAAACTCATACAATTAAAAGTCCATAGGTGTTACTTGCAAGATAAAATGTGAATTTGAAAATGCTTATGGTAATACATATTGGTTTTTCTCTCTTATTGCCTTAATTGGCATCCATGTAATTGCATGATGTCCATTCTGCAAGTTTCGAATTTTAACAGATGGAGGAGGGATATGGTTCATTGAGGAGGGCCCTTTCTGGAGCAAACATTCCAGATGGAAAGACCACATGTATCCTCCTACTAGCAGAGATTTGTGATTACATGAATGTCAGCCTTATGATTTTTTATACGTGATTGAGGTGTTTTATTTGACAATATAAGTTCTATCCAGAGAGTGGTATTATGGGGTGCTGGCACGTATTCGCATCAATGCATTCCGCATCGAGTTAGCTCTTAGTTCATATGAAGATCTTCTCTCATCTGCTGCTGCCTGTGTAGAAGCTGAAGCTGCTGTGGGGAATGCTGTTTATATGCTTCCCTCCTTCTACAACCATGACTGTGGTAAGCTTTTTGTTTGTATTGAAAGAATATGTGCTATACCGTTCTTTATGCTCATATGCATGAGATGCTAATGTATTGCCTGGAGAAATGCAGATGAGATAGATATATGATGTATAGAGTTGTTTAGGTAATTCCTGATAACTGATGAAATGATCAGAGCATTCACATATTTTTACTCCTAGGTCATATATATAGTGTAGCTGATTCTTTATGCTGATATACCTGTGCTGAGTAATGATATGTACGCAGGGTGATGTTACCTCTACACCAGCTGGCTGGGTACATATATCTGTATTTGACTGCATTGAATCCAACAACACTCAGTTGACTCTTCTGTAATGCAGATCCAAATGCACACATTGTATGGATAGAGAACGCAGAAGCAAAATTGAAGGCCCTTCGTGATATCGAGGCAGGTAAAGGAAATTTCTGAGCCAGGTCACCATTCTTGGAAAATAAACATATACTTTTACTTTGTGTTTTCTCCCTATTAGAAAGTGCAGTCTCAATTCAAAGACACATGGTATATGTTCAACAATGGCCTCATCGACTGACCATCTTTCAATGGCTTTGCAGATGAAGAGTTAAGAATCTGCTACATAGATGCGAGTTTGGATCATGATGCTCGGCAGACTGTGTTGCTCCAAGGTTTCGGCTTTAAGTGCAATTGCCCTCGATGTCTGTCCGGGGATTAAATAAAGTTCCAGTCATTAGGGTGCCTTGTTTCTGTGGTTGAACTTTTACTGGTAATAAAACTCCAGAATCCGATCTAGCGTTACAGCTTTTGCTGGTTTCCTTTATACTCCATGATTTGACTAATTCTGACAAGGTGACAACACACAGTAGTATGTCATCAAGCTTGTGGGTCTTCATCCCTTAGCTTTTGTTGTGTCTTTCGGAGGTCGAATCCAGATCTATTGTTAAACGTTTCAGGACTACTGGCATACTGCCCAGTGGTTTGGTCAAGGACTCCACCAGTAAACATAACATAAAGACCAATTTGGTTCTCGGCACAGTAGTTCTGAGTTCTGACGAGGCCTCCTGTTTAGCAGCTTTTGAACAACAAACTCCAGTGGAACCTTTAAGAAATTTGTTCATACTAGTCAATGATTGATGCATCTACAATTCCTGATTAGTACAGAAGATATGAATTGGAAAATGATGGTTATTCCATTGTTAGCACTTGCAATGTATGTGCAAGTACACAATGTTCATTCTTTAAGTGTTGGCGTTTAACTGATGAGGAAGGAATGTGGTTCCTTGATCGGTGACTTTTCTGATTGAAATGTTTCCTGTATATTGGCGGTATGTTCCTTCCTTTTCTTTTCTATTCTTCTCATTTTTCCCGTACCAAGTTGTGTTTATAATGCAAAACCGCGTGCTTCCCTCTCTACATATTATTCGATTAGACACCAGCATGAGTCTCGCAAACTCTCGGCCTAGTTCCATCTCCTCAGGAAAAGAAATCAAAGGGATGCAATTTGGTGGAATCTTTCAGTTATTTTCTAGTTTCTTCTTGGCCTAAAAGAAATGGCCAGGCTTTCTGCTCATGTTTTCGAGATAAAAGTCGTGTTAGAAGATCCATTAGCTGGTCCTAATTTGAAACTTCAGTTTCCCTCCTCGAAAATGGTAAGCACCTAAATATGCTCTTTTTATGTCTACTTACCTGTTGTTGGAAATCAAGGAAATATGACAAAGGAAGCCTCATAAAAATGACTAGAAAAATGAAGGTAATTTTGAAATCCTTACAAGTATGGTGATAGATACTTTTATGACCATGTTTGTGATATCAAATGACAACTGAATACAATCCAGACTGAAGGTGAGGAAGTGGTAGCTTTAGATCCTTGGAGTGATGAGGAAGACAATGTCATTGAAGGGGATACTCCTGCAACTCAGATTCAGGAACTCATGGCAGTCATAATGCAAGCTCTTAGTAGTGTTGCGGTGGCTAATTCATTTATTATCAAGGGTAAGGTAAAGAAGGATACTATGGTGGTATTGATTGACTTTGACACTAGTAATACTCACACCTTTCTTAATGAACACAAGGTAATTGAACTTAAGTGTTCATTGAGAGCATCAACTCCACGAAGAGTTAGATTGGGTAATGGTAGGATTATTTTGATTCAGTTGATGTGCAGAGAATTTTCATGAAAATGCAAGGGAGTATGCTCACCTATGATGTTAGGGGATTGCTATTAGTCTCCAATGGTTTGGTTCTGGGATTGGATTGGTCGAGGACTATTAATTGTGTTAAGTTTTTTTTTAAGGAGGGTTAATAAGTGATTTTGGAGGGTGATAGAAACATATTTCTAGGGTTCTATCGATTGGGTTGGGAAATTGGGAATTGATAGGAATTAGGAATTTAGAAGAGAATTTGGGGAAGAAGATAGAGAATCGGCCTAGACCTTTAGAGAATTTGAGAACGAGAATTGAGAGGATAGGGAGATTAGGGTTTGGAAGGCTTTTCTTAATATTCTTCTTATTTATTCTAAACGAATAGCAAAGTACATTTATATAGGAAAAGAGCTGAAAACCTAATAATAACCCTAAACTTAACAACCAATTAATTATCTATTCTAACAATTATCTCTAATATGGATATTGTAATTATAATAGAAACCTGTGGAAAATAGGTTTCTATCATCCCCTCTCCCTTGAAACCAACCTTGCCCTCAAGGTTGACCAACTGGATCCACTTCTCCGCTTTCCTCGTGCCACCTGCACAATGATTCCTCCATCTCTTGCGCTTCTTCCATTTTTTCCCTTTTCCAATTTTGTTGAAGCTCACAGCAAATTCAACATTAACAGCTTCAACTTTCATCGATCCTCCTCCAGCAGTTCCAATCTCTCCTGATTCTTCTCTGACCACGTGACGCCTATCATCTTTGATGGAAGATGCTATCATATCAGCCACACAAATGGAGATAAAAACAAGCCACAACTCCCCACAAGCTCGTCTTTCTCCACTCCGTATCCCATTCACGGCCGCCTCTAATATCCATGCACCTTGCACTTTGATGGAACAACGCCACCTCTCCTTTCCATGCACGTGCCCACTATCCTCTTCTTCATCTTCACCTAAGCTCATAATAAACAGTGGTAACTTGATTATGCCATGACAATTTATGCTCAATTCCTCAAATCTCCACATCCGATCCATACTAGGCAACATGTGAAGGAGAAGTTTGTTTCCAGTCCCTATAAATAGAGGGACCTCCCTCTCTTTGATTCCTCACACCACCGAATGAAGCACCAAACAAGATACAAGCCAAGAAGATCAAGACCCACCCATACATGATGGTAGAGGCCAAAGAAGGAGTCGCCAAACAAGAAGCGAAGAGGAGCACAAACGTTGGAACAGGAGAAGGAAAGGAGCAAGAAGGCCACCATGATTATGCCACATTCCTTGAAGATAGCATTGATCATACAAAGGTAGGAAAACATTGATGATGTCCCACTAGCAGAGAAGCTCGAGGTCATAAATCATCAATCCGAGATCAGTCACAATACCTTAATAGAAACAATCCTCGATTGTGAAGCTTCTCCCAAGCTACATTCAGTCTTGCTCCTCAAGAGGCATGATGATTGTTGGAGGAAGAGCGTTGCATTGATGGATAAACAACCTCCCACTCAAGGAGAACTCGATTGGACCAGCTGATGAAGTACGCCGGATGAGGGAGTTCTCTTCTCGAGAAGCTCAATTCAATTGGACCGGAACTCCCACTAGTATAAGGGAAATGAAACGAGATTCTAATGGGGGAGTTCCCATTGCTCATTATTATTTCGTCCAATAATGACAATGTCCATTTTAAAGTGTAGGGTGGGGAATGTGTTGAGATGCCTTGCCTTGTTATATGATTAGTTGTTCAAACTTTGACAATTGTTATGATATGTGCCTACAATTTTGAAATTACTAAAGATGTTTTCCATCTAATGACTTTTATTCATCCCCTACAAGCATGATCACTTATCATCTTACTTTGAATCAAGGAGGTTAGGAATCATCACTTGATATATGTTCCTACACTATGAAGGATGCGATAGTCATGTGTTTGAATGCTATGTTGTTTGATTCTTTCATGGATTGCAAATTATGCAAATGAGTCTGGTTTTAAAAGTTTTTCAAAGGGTGAACTGTATCTTCTAAGAAAATGCAAAAGTTCTACCTATCAAACATGTTTATCATTTGAAATTTGCTATATTATGTTGAGAAATAAAACGTGGGGTAAGTCCAACGGGTGTGATGTCTTTTTATTCCAAAAATCGGATTATGAAAGATATACTTGTTGAGCTTTAGTGGAGAAGTCCTACAAGGTGATGCTAGTTCCTATGTAGTACAAGTAAAATTTCCACCCATTGAATTGATAGCCAACTTGAGGAGGTGTTCTTAAGGGCACAGATTAAACTTCCTATACCCATTAAATTTACTGACCCTCCCCTTCAGGTATAGAAGATTTTAGCTTTTGCTCAACCAATAAGGTTCTAATGCTATGAAGAACCTCACCATACAAGAAAAGTCTAGAAAAAGTATAAAAAAAAAAAAGGTTTGCAAGAGAAGAAAAAACCGAAAATGAGAAAAAAGATTGTGTGTTTGAACAAGGAAAAGTGCTTAAGGGAATGTCAAGTTGATGGTAGAAACATTCAAAGCTAAAAAAGTTTATCAAAAGCTTCATCCTATCGCTTTGATACTCTGGTGCATAGTTACTTGATTGATGTTAGGTTAAAATGCACAATGTTCTCGTTTATTGATGTGGTTAGGAGTTTCTCATGCTATTTTTGATCTTGTAAGTTCACTTTTCATCCACTATCTAAGATCATGATTGAGTGATGATTGTTGGTTTTTATTGATTTTTACGATTATGAGTAGTGTTTACTTGTGGACAATCAAAGTTTAAGTGCGGGGTATTTTTTATGATACTCAATTTATAGGGGTTAATTTCATGGTTGGTCACTGAGATTACGAAAAACGTTCAAGTTTGGTCACTCGAAATATTTAAATCCATTGGTGGTACTTCAGTTTACTGAAACCGTTCATGTTTGGTCACTCTCCGTCCAACTCCGTTAACTTTTGCTTACGTGGCAGTCAACTCTAAAAGTTGACCGTTAAATGTGTGACGTGGCAATAAAAAGATAATTAAATAAATAATTTTTTTTAAATTTCCACCTCATTTCTAGCTATTAAAAAAATTATAAATTATTAAAATTAAGAACCAATGGGGAATCCTCTCTCCTGTTCTCTGCCGACGCATTCTTGACCATAAACGGCGGTGGTTTCCGCTTAGATAAACCCTCCGAAGCCGAGGCCAACGCCGCAAAACCAGAGCCCTACCACTTAGAAATGAGGTGGAAATTGTTATCCTTATTTTTATCCTCTCCGCTTCCTCGCACTCTTCTTCATTCTTATCCTCTCCACCAGCTGCTTCATCATCAGCAAATTTCTTCAGAGCTTCGTAATTTATCTTCGAACTCAAAGACAGCGTGGGTTTCGCCGCCTTCTTCTCATTTTCCATCCGGGCAGCAGCAGGGGAAGGACCGGTCTTGGCCTTCTTCCTGGCATCGGCAAACAGGTTTTCCAGGTCTCGCTTTCTATTCATGTATTGACAATGCATCAGGTTCCAAGCCTTCGCCTTCGCTTCTACTGACCTCTTGTCGTTCAGGCAATCGGAGATCTCGTCGTCGTCGATGTCGCTCAAGCATTCTTCTTCTTCTTTGGATTTGGATCCGGATTTAAGATCTGGATCCAGAGACTTGGCCATCGCCGGCGAATTGGAAGCGCCGCTCGCAGAGTGAATTCTGATGCGTTGAGGGCTGGTTGTGGCTTTGGCTATTAGTAGGCCAGGTAGAGGCGGCGGTTTGTTCGCTTTATAATTTCAAACTGGTTGACGTATGTTCATGTTGGTAACTACAATAAGGTGGAATTTTTTTAATTTTTTTAGTTTAATTATTTTTTAATTTCCACGTCACACATTTAACGGTCAACTTTTAGAGCTGACTGCCACGTAAGTAAAAGTTAACGGAGTTGGACGGTGAGTGACCAAACGTGAACGGTTTCAGTAAACTAAAGTACCACCAATGAATTTAAATATTTCGAGTGACCAAACTTGAACAGTTTTTGTAATCTCGGTGACCAACTATGCAATTAACCCCAATTTATAG